CAGCCCGCGCCCCCCCCCTCCCCTCCCATCCTCCCCCTGCCTCCCTTTCCCTCACCTGCAGCCATCTGGTTGTAATGAGCCACCGACTCGCTGCTGCCGGAGAAGAGGTTCAGAGAGTTGGGGATCTCCTCGGGGTACAGATTGTCAGGCAACGGGTTCATCAAAGTGTTCATGGTCCCCGGCAGCTTCTCCACCAGTTTGCCGGTCATAGCACTGGGGAGGCGAGGCCGGTTCAACGTGGCTCCGAGCGCAGCTCCCCGGGAAACGGCATCCGATCCGAGTGGCAAACCGGAGAAGAGGTTCAGAGAGTTGGGGATCTCCTCGGGGTACAGATTGTCAGGCAACGGGTTCATCAAAGTGTTCATGGTCCCCGGCAGCTTCTCCACCAGTTTGCCGGTCATAGCACTGGGGAGGCGAGGCCGGTTCAACGTGGCTCCGAGCGCAGCTCCCCGGGAAACGGCATCCGATCCGAGTGGCAAATCCGTGCAAGGGGAATCATGCAAGAGAAAAGTTGGGGTGGGGGAGGGGGGTGAGGGGGGCGGTTTTGCGGAGGAGGAGGCCAAGGGAGGGGGTTACAATCCTCAGCGGGTCCTTGGTGGTGTTTCCTCCAAGGGGAGGGGCGGTCTGTCTTGCCGATGGTTGTAGAAGCTGGTAGTGGGGGGGTGTTTGATCCCTCCCCCCCTCCTTTCCTCTCTCGCTCTGCCTCTGTCCCCCTCGCCTGCGAGCAGGTTCCCTCACTGCTGCCCAAATGTTCAGCCAGGGAACTCCACAGCCTATTTATGTGAGGCACTGGAAAGCTCCGTGACGTAGCTGCCCATATATGGACAGACAAAGCCCAGCCGAGGGCGAGACGTCACAATGGAAGCTCCTCACAATGGAAAACTAGAAAGCAGGAAGCAGAGCCCTCAGCCAATGCGGCGCTGCGCCTGCGAGGCAAAGCCACGGACCCAGCGCACGATTTTGAAAGCGCCCGGGTGCGCGAAAAAGGCTCTTTCTCTGCCCCCAGACCCCATGAAAGCCCGTCTGTGCTGCAGGCTGCCCTGCCTCACCCGGGGACAGATCCGACAGCGATGGCTGGTGTGTGGCACCCTCTTCCACCCGGCAGCCCCTGGGGACCTTTTCAAAAGACACAGCGCGCCCTTCCTGACTTTGAGGCGACTTCGCAATTACTTTGGCAAGGCGAAAAGCAAGCTAGCTCCCCCCTCCCCCCCACACTGACCCGTGCCCAGCCCCGGTTGGCGCCCCCTGCCCAAAGGTGAGGGCCAAAGAAATGAGCCAGGTTCGTGCAATGATGCCACGGGAGTGTATATTTCAAAGCAAAACGTGTTTTAAACGCAGGTGGCGCGGATTGTCGCGTACTAGCTGCACATCTGGGCTGTAACACCGTAAGGGGTCGAGGCACATCTGGAAAGCTAAATAGGATCTAAGGCCAGTGCATAGCTTGAACCCTCCCCGCACAAACAAACGCTTGTACATATTCCCATATTACTTAGTATTCACAGTTCCATGTTACCTCCATGCATCCCCCACCTTAAGATAGGCAGGTGTGGAGGGGGTGGTCCGAACCAGGATGGAGGAACTATTGCAGGGGTGGGGAACCTTTTTTGGGTCGAGGGCTAGTGACCCACAGAAAATCGATCCGGGCGTCCACACAGGTGAGAAAACAAAAACAAACAAACCCCCCTTAAGTGATGGGGCCCCTGTCTGAGAAGCAGAAAGACACTCCTCACAGTCCCCTCCCCCAGATCGGAGGGGGTGGTCCGAACCAGGATGGAGGAACTATTGCAGGGGTGGGGAACCTTTTTTGGGTCGAGGGCTAGTGACCCACAGAAAATCGATCCGGGCGTCCACACAGGTGAGAAAACAAAAACAAACAAACCCCCCTTAAGTGATGGGGCCCCTGTCTGAGAAGCAGAAAGACACTCCTCACAGTCCCCTCCCCCAGATCTTGTGGGGGGAGGGGGGATGGTGGGGAGGGGGGGACAGACTAGTAGATTTTGTGTGATCCAGCCCTGCAGTGGGGCTAGAGCGTCAATTCGGGCTCCCCAATGCTGGAGGGCCCCTAAGCCTTGAGGGGGGATCCAGGCAAGCCAGGGGCCGCATCCGGCCCCCGGGCCTTAGATTCCCCACCCTTGAACTAGAGGCTTCATGTTGGTCTTTGCGCACACGCAACGTGGAAAGCAAAACTGGCCCCAGGAAAATCATCTAATTTCCAAGGGACCCGGGAAAGGGGAGCTACGGAGGTGCTAGCGCGCAGTGCCAGGCAGCGAACTGTTTGGGGGGAGCGCACCGTTTGAGACATCTGGCTTAAAGGGGCTGAACGCGCAGAAGTCTGGGCCCACTTGCAATGTGTTTTCACGCTCATCACCGGGAGCAGAAGACCATGCATTTGCATCCAGGAGCCCTTGCACAGCCCTGCGTGCTATTATGCATAGGAGCGCTTTGCAACACGGAAAGCTGGTTACACCCGTTGATCGCCTGTGATTTTGTAGCCTCCCCTCCCCCTTTAAAGTTTGGCACTTCCCAGGCGTCGGTAATTAGGTGGTTTCGTGCTAAGTGTGCCAGCTGATGCTATCTTTACATAAACCCCTCCGAGTTATACAGCAAGCCTATGGAAAAATTCGATGTTGCAACCGCTCCGCTTACCCAATTCCTGCAGGGCCAGCTTTGCAATGCGAGTGAAATCCAGGAGGCTGGAATCTGGAAGCTGAGGCTGCCACGATTTTTGCATTGAAGGGGGGAATCTGGAGGGAAGGGGTGTGTGTGCGCGCGCGCGGGAGGGGGCTGATTGCGCCTCTTTAGATACCTGATTTTTTTTGTGGAAGCCCTGAATTGCACTCCTGGGGCGGGCCTGTATCTTCCCAAAAAGGGGTTTTTTTTGGGTGTGTGTATAGGGAATGCAATGTAGCTTGGAACGCTTGGGGGAGGGGGTGGGGGTGTATATGCACCATTATTTTCACGTGCGTGTGTGGGGGGATACTCCATGTCACACCTGGGGGGTAGCTTGTCTCACGGGCTGTTTCAGTGAGGGGGGAGGTGCCTCAGGGTGACCCCACAACTGTTCCACGGGGCAGCAAATCTGTTCCCAGCAGACGCCTCATTGTTACTGCTTTGCATTTCCAGGACGCCTGGAGCAAGACCTCGCTTTGCTGCCGGCTGGACACACCCAGCGCAGGAGAGGCGGCCGGGGCTAAGGGGACACGGCTCTTGGGGAGCGCACCCGGGCAAGGCCCTTGCGATGTTTGCTAGTGGAAGAGGGTGCAGCCTTGCCTTTGGGGGGGCGCTTCACTCTGCCCCCCCC